CTAGTAATGCCCTTGTTACTAGTAGCGATGGCCTCCAACCTAATAGCGTCCTTGCTACTACTAGTAGTAATGCCCTTGTTACTAGTAGCGATGGCCTCCAACCTAATGGATTCTTGCTACTACTAGTAATGCCCTTGCTACTAGTAGCGATGCCCTGCAGATTCTATTGGTTGGAGACTTGGAGACCTGCAAACTGACCCTTATGGTTGTATGGTGTTGGAAGGTAAGGTGACATGCAGTTGTGTTGATCCCGGAAGCAAATCCAAGTTGGAGATGTCAGGACAACTGAGTGCCATTTGGAGACTCAGAGATGCTGTGTTTTTGTTCTCACGATATGTTGAAACGCATTTGAGAAGTATGGAACCACCAATAGGGTGGAACAATTTTTTGTGTTTTGTCCAGGTCGCTCCGGCAAAGTTGGAGGGATTGTTCTACTGGGTGTCACAAGGATTTGGGGTCAGACTGGACGACTACGACGACTACTTCTACTACATTTGCTTCATTTCACTTCTATTGGTACTACTACTACTACTACTACTACTACGACTACGACTACGACTACGACTACGACTACGACTACGACCACCACCACCACCACCACTTCCTATTACTTGGCTTCCATTGGTTTCCATTGCACACACCAACGGGGATGCACCAGTCCAGCGGGATGTCCCAGGTTGTTTCAGCTCTATGACTTGTCCAGAAGTATCAGCCAAAGATGGCATTATCAGTGGTTCTTTGCGGACGGCGTGTCGCACATTCTCTTCTGCATGGTGCGTCAGACCGGCCGACGTGTGCATGCAGCCATGGGTGTGCATGAAGTGAAAACAGAAGACCCAGATCGTTTTGCGTAGTTTGCCGATCAGTTCTTGTTGTTTCAACAAGAAGGACCCATATTATGGCCTAGACTCGAAGACCGATCTGAAGCTTTGCCAGACTCTCAACCAACATCCATCAGTACCATCCAAGGGGTGAACATGTCCTCCTAAACCATTCTGAACCCCATTAGATATGGTTTGTTCAGTTTGGGACCACTCCCATAGTCTAGTAGCGATTGTTGTCGGATGCAGCGAGTTGTCCAAACAAAAGGACTGACTGTCGACATCGTTCCACAAACCAGTGGTTTTCAGTTTCCATGTGAATCTACCAGGGCTTAACATAATAATATAAGATGTTTCCATTGTTTCATCGTAGAAGTCCACCGGCCCTGTATGGATCAGCGCTAGTTCAGCTGCCTTCGACATGTTAAGAGAGTGCCGTCGCAGGTACTCGCAGCGATCATGTTCCTTTTCGCCCCGCACACGAACAGCCAACGCTTCGCGTACAAGCAGGCAGAGATACTCCATGCAGATGCCATTCGCCACGCTTCTTTTGAGCTGTGTTTCTTTCCTGTGAAGCGAAAGCGAGCACTCAGCAACACCTCACCACTGATCACTATTTTGGTCCAGGTCCTCCAATGATTCACTACGCCAAAGGTTTACTCATGTACCTGAGGTTCTTTGATGCTGTACACACCGAGACTCAGTCAGTGCCCGTCCTCGTTATCATAGAACATCAAGCATGTATAGAACAGAGGACATCAGAGGACGTAATCATGATGCACAGTTACGAAGCGCATTTTTTGTCACAACTTTATTGAGCCCAAGCAAAGTGCCTGTCAGTACCGGGCAAAGGTGTCATCAAAGCACTTTCCTGGACAGTCCGTTCTCTCCAAGCCTGCATCAATCCTCCTATCTCCTATCACCAAATTCTTCCATCCTTGCCTGGACGTTTCTTTTGCACCCCTTTTCCTAGGAGATGAACAAAGATCCCACAAACATCCAGGGGTGAGTGGCGCTCGGGCTGTATGGTTTCACGACCAAGAACGACAACTCATCGACTCATCAATTACCGCTTGAACCAACAGGTTTACTATGTTTTAGTGTCCCGGCACAGTCAACTTGAACTCGCATCGACTGGGCCGCCCAGCAACTCTTCCAGGTCGAAGGTGACGAGAAAGGTGAAAGCTCCAAAGTCACCGATGAGAAGAACGTTTGGGCAGATGAGGCGAGTCGCCACCCTCGAGTCACCGGTTTTTGTTGCGTCGCCACCTCCATGTGGAGGCTACTCCGAGGCTGAAAAGCCGCTTAAGCTATTTTGGAATGATTTGGAACTACTAGATATCCCGTGATATCCCCTAGAATTCTACTAGAAAATCTAGCGGCCCAGGTTCTCCTTGAAATATCAACAGGGATAACTAGATTGATTTGTGGATTCGGATGTAGCTTCTTGTGGATTTCAACCCATTGGGATTCCCCTCATTTCTGTGGTTCAACCAAGCTATTTTCGTCGATCTATGTCAAAAACGTGTCAAAGTGGAAGTAATATTGGAACCTGAAAGAAGCTTGTCAGTAAGCTTGTCATGTAGTAATAGTCACAGTGAAATATTGGAAGTAATTGACATCCAAAGTGGAAGTAACTATATGCTCGCAGGAAGATTCCACAGAACCTGAAAAGGGACCCTTTGGAGGACTAGCTAGCCTAGCTAGCTTCAGGTGCTACCAATCCGTGGTGAAGACAGGTTGCATGATGTTCCATGGAACGTCCTCTTCCAGGGCGTCCTCTTGGAACGAAGGCCCACCGTTTGACTCCGATCTGTTTGACTGGCGCACCGTCGCACCGTGCTCCTCCGTCCAAACGTGCTCCTCCGTCTCTTCAGGGCGGCCTGGATGAGGAGGAGGACGATTCCTTCTGGGCGTCGACGCATGGCAAAGGGTCGGAACGCCTGGGTCGAGCCAGTTGAGGTTTCAAGGAGCATTTGGGAGCATCTGGGAGCTCTGTAGCTTTCGAGGCTGAAAAAAGCAAGGAACAAGCATGAACAATGGACATGCGTATGTTGGCGGGTTTGACATCCTTGGATACCTTTGGGGAGCCAGATACGATCTTTTTCGATGTTCAGTTTGATTGAGAACTTTCAATGGCGGTGGTGATGAGGTAATGGTGGTGAATCCGCATGAATCCTCCATCATGAATGAACCACGGAGACAGTCCCATGAATTGTTTCTGGGATTTCCCTGGAGATTTGCTTTAACGGAACCCACAGGGTGGTCCGACTTCCGACAAACTTTGAAGCCTAGTCCTATCTCGGAATGGTGGTGGAGCTAACTTAACCTCTTTTATGGAGCGATGGTGCGGTTTCCCTCCTAAACATGCCTTTACTCGGGAACAACATGGATCAACCATTGCACCGTGTGATACCGTGTGTCTTTTTCCAATCAAATCTGAGGAGATGAGAGAGAGGTGGATAAGCATTATAGACATATAGTCATTTTAATATGTTTTCTGATGTGCCTTTTTGTTGGTTCTCCCAGGTCGAATTCGGCAGATCTGGTGGGCGCCTCACAGGAGGTGGGACTCCGTGGCGTCGTTTTTCTTCATTCTCCGCCGATCCGAGAACATGTGCACTTGGACCAGGGTTGTAAGGAAGACATGAACATGCTCCGATCCAATGAATATCAATGGATCCTCATGGATCTTCAACCAGTTCTAAAACTTTGCCCTTTTTCCACCAGTGGGAACGCTGTTCAGCATAGTCCAACCAGCTGGACTTATTTGGTCGAGCCAGCACCACAAGAATTGAACTGCAAGCATCGAGCTGCATGAAAAGCAAAAACATCATCAAAGAACCCCAAAACGCCTATGTATGTGTTTCATCCGAGACAAAGGACCTATCAGGCAGATAAACCAGGCACCCAAGGCACCTGGCAAAGTGAACACAAATCTTCAACGATGTGATGTTGAAATACATAGGGCAGTGCCAATAGAGGTTCTAAAACCGAGAGGGGCATGTTCGGGCGCCTTTTGGGTTCCGCCCCAGGATGGATGTGTTGTCGGCATGGATCCGAACGCATGAATCCTTTCACGAGTTCGGAGGCAACCGAAACTCTCCCAGAGAATCCCAGACAATTGGAAGCTGAGTAGAACCCTTCTGCAATTAGAGGAAATTGGACAAATCCTGGGTACCTGGGTTAAGTCGTTTGGATGCAGCGTTTACATTGGGGTTAGATGCAAGATGGCAATATATATATATATATAACTGAAAGAGTATCAGGCTGCAAACTTCGACATACATCTATATATTTGGGGCACAGGGGCAATGAATTCTTGATGTACACCAGTTTTTGGCAACATACTTCTGTAGAGCTTTTCCATGGTGTTTTAACATAAAACGGATGACTTTTCGCTAGCCGGGTGACTTTTGACTAATGCTGCGTTTCCTTCCGGCCGGTTGATAAACCCGGGTGACTAACCCCCGACGCTTGTATAGGCACTTCCATGATTTGTTTCGGAGAGGATGGATCACCCAATTCCACTCGGAGCTGTGGCAAGCTTGTCAGCGCTTCCAACGGGTCACCCGCCAACCCGCCGCTGAAATCGATCGAGCGCGACGCGTCAGGACAGTGATTCCAAGATTTGATCGCTTAGCACGACAGTCGATTGAAACGGTGTCGATCTTGGAGCCCTGGGCAAAACCTGCCGGAGCGTCCAAGATCGTGACACCTGACAAGTGTCGAAGATGAACTCATCAGATGTGTACCAGTTTTAGAAGAAATGCAGAAAACATCTAACATGGGAACAGAACCCTGTAGTTTTGCCTCATGGCTCACCTTTAAGTCACCATTCTTTTGGGAATCAGGCCTACGACTCAAGCTGCAACTCCTTCCTCAGTTTTCTTATCTTTGCTTGTTGAGCAGCCATGGTTGGCATAAGGATCATCTTTAGATACACTCAGAGATCACCTCAGAAGCAGTAATTCACTGCAGAGGTTTATCGTTGAGCGCTCGATCCGTGTGTTCGTGGATCCCATCGGAGAGTGACCCTCGATCTGTGAGGGAATCATTTGAATGTGGAAAAAGGCATGAAGACGACCGTGTTTTTTGTACTCATGAACTCCTTGTTTCATTGGGACAGGGTGGTAAAATCATGCGGCGTGGTTTTGGTTTTGGAGTTATGTCGCCAAGTTCAAGCGGGTGTCAACACCAATCTCTTGGAATTCCTCGAAACACCAATTCGCAGAGCCGAGCAGAGGAGGCAGTCGCGGTCAGGACAGGAGAAAAGAATAATGACCGTTCGAATCACCAAACGTTTTCCTTGGGGGTGTCCTATTACCTGTAACGGTCAGTAAACAATTGTCACTACTTTAGAGAAAGGCCTTTGCTAATCATCATCATCCACTGTTATAGGCCTAAGGACAGACCCAAACGTATACCTGAACCTTCCAAGGGGTACCTATTGGTGACCCTTGGATGGTACACAATTGTGCGGCTGGACTGGCATTGTGATGATGTTCCTTAGTGGTTGCTCATTGTTTTGTTCGACTTACAATATCACGATATTCAGCGCTTCATCCATAATTTATATATTTGATTCTGCACCCAGAACTTATCTTATCCACAGTGTTGCCAGCTCATGCGCTTGTCAGCTCTATGCATCTCCTGGTTCGGGGGCTAATGCACAGATTGACCACCGGGCATGTGCAACTCATCAGTTAATTTTAGCCTGGATGCTTCCGTTTGGTTCTCGAGATTCCTGCGTTTCAATTGAACAATTGAACACTGCACTCAACCTGTAAAGCTTTTCTCTGTGCTTTCCATTGGAGCAGCATTGCTGCAGCCATCAAACAAACGTGTTTTCGAGATCATTTGGTCCAGAAGTTTTGAGAAGAATGCTCTCACATGCTCTCACACTCTCACCCTGCTGTACCTGGTTTGATCTTCGTCCCGGCTGTCTTTGCATGTATTTTTCTCGAGCCAGTGGTGAAGCCACACCCATTCACAGGAGAAGTTCGACATACAGTAAATTGGACAACTTGGGATGCACAGCCTGTCATTAGCCTCCTGCATTTTCTATGTCAGTAGCCTCCAGTAATTTCTTGTCCAGTTTTCAGCTTGTTCATCAGACCCTTCTGAACTTAAGGGAGATAAACAATTCGAAGCCCCTGAATTGAAAAGAGTAGTCGAGAAGCAACTGCGCCGCTGTTTGTTTCCCACATCATGTCACCACGCCAAGATCTCACACTTCTTCAGCGTCAAGGCATCAACAGCCCCCACACCACGATCCGCCATCACCCAGCCACCCGACCCACTGCTACAGACTCTAGGACCTACACCCACCCAGCATTCTCAGCATTCTCAACTTACTGCACTGCGCACACGACCACCCACCCACCGAAACTGTGCCACGCACCGAAACTGTGCCGTTCTTGCTTCCACGCGACCGACCGGTGCAGATGACGGCAGTGCCTCAGGGCTCTCCCGAGGTGGGCCTAGCTGCTACCGAGGTACTGGGTCCGGTAGTTTGACACGCCGATGTAGCAACAAGTCAGCAAGATCAACAGGTTCGTTGGATCTTTGATTGAGTTGAATATATACAGTAATTAGATTGAATCAGATTGACATACTGTAGATTATCCGTTGATATTTGGGAGCGGGTGGAGCCAAAGTTTAGGCCTGAAATGCATGATGGTTCAAGTGCATGAACGTTCCTTGACAAACTATTTTCAATAATACATGCCGAACCATCTTGTCGATGAGTGCAACGCATAGGTGGTCCGGATACCGACACATCAACACCCACCGGGAGTCTTATATATACATGAATATTGTTGGTGGGTTGGTGTGGAGGCGATGTGAGTGAGAAGCATGGAATCCCGGGCCCATGTTCCACCTAACACGTACCAGCATTTTACCTATGACAGAAGCATAAGGCCTAGGATCCTTAGACATCCCAGCAGGGAAAATCAAACTGCCACTGTTGGGCCTGTTTCCGTCTTGGGCCTCTCAATCAACCATATCATGCGTCTGAGGATGTTTCCTTGTGTTGCGACACAGCTGCTTCTTCTTAGGATGTGGGTACAGGGTTGTAAAGGGGAAATCCAATATCTCAAAAGTAATATTTGCTTGACAAGACAAACAAGCCTAGCCAGACCAAACAGAGACCACCCGAGACATCAAGTCTCCCAGCCGCTGCCAGGATGACTTGGAAAGCGTCGAGGACTCCGAGCCTGTCGTGTCCACACTCCGCCGGTTGGATGTGCTGTGCTTCAAACACTTCTTGTTTGTCAAAGCCAAACATCGGTGTTGTGGCTCCATTTCATGCTAGTTGGCGAAGATGGTTGTGCATGGTTGTTCAAGATTGATCATTCCAGAACAGGCAGGGTTGAAAGTATATTGTGGCCCAGGACCAGGGTGCTAATGTGTGTTTGCTCAAGCGCAGGTTTGTGCGGAAAACCCATGGAAGTCTTGAGGAAGTCCTTCGAAGAAAGTATCATACCGTAGGTTCTAGTAACACACCTGTGAACACCCGAACAAACCGGTCTATTCGGGATTGGGTTCGAAATGGTTCGAGGGTCAAGGATGTTTCAGTTGTTTCTTCCGCACAAACACTGTTTTTGTCAGGCAAACTCAAAGTGTCTCATAGTTTTGTCAGTGTGCAAGTAAACGGTTACTGCATATTTACAGTACTACTGTAGGTACTTCATATTAACAAAACATCCTCCCGTGCCTTTGAGCCCGTTTTGGAGCTTCAAAACCTCGGGCCAGTCATAGTGCGAGGATGAGTGGGGAAATTAAGCGAACCATGTATAACCTTCTTTGCCCTTGAACCTTTGCGGGTGGATGTGTTTCCTAAATAACAATGAACAGGCTGAACGTCTGAGTAAGCCTAACCTTTCTTTCCCAGAACCCCTCTGCAGCACTCGCTGAATCTTGCGAGGATGAGGACTTGACGGGCGCTGAAGCTCGAAAGAAGAGGAAGTTGGGTCGCCCAAAATCAGGGTGACGCTCAGTTCAAGTGTCAAGCTTGGAAATCCAAGGTGGCAAAGCATGGAGTCCTTGCCCTCGAAATGTATATATATATATGTATATATATATAGAACGCAACCGCCTGGAAAGATGTTTTCCGGACATGCTTGTTTGTCTACCTTTATACTATATATATAATATATATTTATACAATACTATTATACACGTCATATTTGGTGTTTGGAAGGCTGGGGCAGTCCTTGTTCTTTTTTGTCATTACTCGGTTTGGTTGGCGTTGTTCTTTTTGTTGTGGAATTTCGGCGGGGCTGTCTCATGGGGGCTCTTGTGACAACTGTGTTTGGTGGGTTTGTTGATTGACTGGGTGGGCGTTCTGTGAATTCTTGTTGGGCTTTTCGGTGGACTTTTTGGTTTCACGGAAACCATCAGACACCCTGCTAATCTTTACCCAATAATGTACACTGTTCTCGCCCCCAGGCCGAAAGGCACATGATATAGGTGTGTTTCACATGTCTTCGATGACCTTGAATCTTGACATGCTTGGTCACTCGAAACTTTCAGCGCAAGATTGCCGCAAGATGCTTTATTACGGGAGGTTTATTTCAATTCTCTGTCAATTCCAAGGCATGATTCGAGTGGAACTGGAAGATATGCCACTTCACATTGACCCCCTTTCAATCAACGGACAATTGGTTGGGTCCTTGCACGGTCCTTGCACCATTTGGACGGTTTAGCACATGTGGACCATGTCCACTGGTTGGTGCCTTCAGGGCCTATTTTTCAACCCTAATTGGGAATGACATGGAATGACTACCCCAGCTGACTCATTTGTTTGGGGGAAGAACCACCATCCAGTTGATTTGATGAACGATGTGTTTGAGGATTTTTGTCGCAGTACTGGTCCCTGCCAGGGGCCCTGGTCGTACTTTCAAAGGTCTGCGTACGTGAAGCCATACGTGAAGCCATGCATGAGCCTGTCGCAATTTGGATGTTCCAGACTCGACCGACTACATAGGTGCCGAAAACACCCACATGACATGCTTCATATTTTAACGTTTGATCGGCATGGGTGATCGGCCGGTCTAGCACTTGGTAGGTTACCTGGTACATCCTGGTACTCTCAGCTCAACATCTTTACACCAGACGAGGGAACTCCACTTTTCACTCTCCGAGGCAACGCCTTGAGGCCCGAGAAGCTGCGCGCCTGCAGCGATTGGCACAGAAGGCAGAGCAAACGTCCTCGCCGCGTCCTGGCCTCGCCCAGATCGACATCGGTTTCGGGTGGGTTTGGGCCAATCGGCACCAGTGATGAAACCGTGGGTGAATGTGTCAAGTGGAACTGGGAATCAATCCTCTCTAAGGATCTTTGTACCCTGGACAGGTGAGAATCCCGTGAAGCCGTGAGTGTGGGAAGATGTTTTGGGTCCCAGAAATGTGCACAAAACTAGATCAACTTTCGCCAGGTGTTCCACCAGGAGCGTCCAGGGCTCCTAACAAGTAAAGACCTGGCAGTGAGGGTCCTGGTCGTTTCGTTTCATGTTTGGTCTGGCAAAACTCATGCAATGCTATCCGTACCAAAGGACAGTTGCCTTTTGGGGAGCACTTTTTACTTCAATGTGAGTGATCCGGAGTGCACAGACTCTTGGGTCATTTTGGGGGATCATATGAGGGTAGTGTTCAGGTTTCACAAAAGATTTGTGGACAAGGAATTGACAAAATCTAGATCGATTGGTCAATTGATGTTAATTATAGTAAGTCATATAGTTTATAATGTGAAGTCATAGGGGCCCGACCATGACCATCCCCTGTAGCTTGGATGGCGTCTAAAAACATCGCCTTCTCCAGGCTGCAGCTCGCCGCTCGGGCTCCTTTGCCGATGAGACCCCGGAAGAGAGCCGGGTTCGGGAGCCCAGTGGGCATGGGTTCGGCATGAGCCGGACGTCGAAACACTACCTGGTCCGGGTGAATCTGGGGGATAGATATCAATAGATGGGGTGATCACTCAATGACATAATCTACAAGTAAATTGTATTAAAGGGTTAATATAAATGAAATTATAAATTAAGTGATCACCCCATCTACCCGCATCTACGCATTGTAATGCACGGATGTATGGATTTCATGTAGCTGGGTAGTTCTTGGGATTCATGTGGATTGCAGCGAGAAGGGCCAGTCAAGGTAAGTAATACGTACATGTTTTGCTTTACGGACATCCTGGAGTAGATACCTATAGAATTAGAATCCTCTATATATATAGATCTTTATTAGGCAATCATTTTCACAATGGGCAGAAATGGTTGCCCAAGAAGAGGTTCTGGGTATTGAAGGCTTCATTTTTCATTCAACAATGTTTACAGACAGTAGCACTTTAAACCACCGATTTGGGTCGTACGTGATCAGATTGGGGCGAAGCAAAAGCCTTTGGATGGCTTGGACTGCCCATCCACTTGCTTGTGGTGGCTGTTGAACATGGAAGTGGCTTCCCTCCGAGCGCATGGCAAGCCATTTGCTTTCGGTCGTTCCTTTTGGAAGAAAATATTTGAAACAACAAAATCAAACAAAAACAAGGAGAGTAGGCAAGGGGCTCGTTCATTAGGCCGCACTAAAACGGATCTTTTTACCTTCTTAGTATCTTATAATTCCAATTCCGTGTGTTGCCCTCTTTTGACGTCACAAAGCAATCGTTCGCTGAGGCCCGGAAGATCGCCGAGAAGGCGGCGGCCCGGCGTGCCAAGGCGGGTCGGCACCGCTGAGAGGAACAGGTGGAACACGGGTGGCCTGCAGGGTCACCTCCAAACATCAGAGAGGTGCCGTGGTCGTTTCGATGTCGTCGTGGTTGGTGGTGGTGGTGTTGGTAGAAACCCAAACGAACCGCGCAACTGACAACTATGGTGCAACTCTGGAACTTCAAGGGGACCAGGTTACTGTAGGGATACAGTTGAAGGTTTGAGGGAATGTCGGTTTCATAAGTAGCTGAACTTGTTGGACTTGTTTCACTGGTCTGGGTTGGTCCTTTTGTAGTGGTCAAGAAGCAACAACGGGGCTGCAGTCTTTGTTTCTAGGAGGGGAGAACAACACCTTTTGACAAAGGGTGCAAAAAAAAGAAAACAACCAAGGGGTTCCAGTGATTGTTTGTATAGTAGAGTTAGTAGAGGTTCCTGTAGATAGATATATATAGGTAGCTAGATGGATAGATATATTGATGCATAAATGGATAGTAGTCGCACCAATAACATAAACCAATATATAGTTGGCCACAGTTTGGCTTTGTTCAGCTGGGGTTTCTAACGCCTGGCCACCAAATTATTGACTAGCGTGAGTAGCCACTAGTGCCTGGCCACTGCCAGGTTCACTACCCAGATCTTGATTCGGCAGAATTGGGAAAACGGGTATTTGATCAGTCAGCCATGTGTTCATGTGTTGCTTGCATGCTGATTAGTCAGAACTTTGGAACAGAGTCGGTTCACCTTCATGGTCGGTTCAAAACGACGGCATAGCACATGTGAACCTCCATCACCCTGCCAAACTCTCCTGCCTTTTCACGTGACGTGATGCTGGTTTTCGCACCATGGGACCGGAAAACAACGCTCATGCCGGTCCTCTTATTTCCATGACTGTATTTAAAGACATGTTAAAGTTGTTTGGCGGTGATTCATGATAATATCCTAGGTCCATCTAGTCCTAGATATCCTTAGTTACCTTCGGGATCGGAACCCTAGATTTTGCAGTTGTCACTTTAGTTGCTTGCCTGCAAGAGTGTAGATTCCTCGCCAGGGGTGCTCTCATTCACACCCGTCGCTCTCATTCATTGGTTACGGTTAGTGCAGATATGCTGGTACCATGAACCAAATGTGGTGTCCTGTGAGCGGTTGGAGGTTTTACGAAGGTGGATAAGGCTGCATGCGGACGATGGGACAGGCCAAGGGTGCCCAGGAACACGGACTTGGAAGTGGTGGTGAATGAGTTTCCAGACCAGGAGACCAGGTGACCAAGGTCGTGCGCATCCAAGTTTGACAGAAATTGGATGCAATGCTTGAAGGTGTAGTGTGTAGACTCTTGATTATTTAAACCCCCGGCTCTTGTATGAATCAAGCGGTTTACATAATTAGCAAGAGTCTACATTTAATGTCAACCTAGGATTAGGGAACCCCCCCTTAGTCTACCCAGCGTTCAGGCCCCAATAATAAACTAATTTGAACTACTAATTTCCACAATCACCACCCTCTAATAATTTTTTTTCTTGGCTGAACCCCCCCCCTATTAGTCAACCCCCTGTCCTGCCAGGAAAAATGTAATTATTCAAATATATATGTGTTTAATTAGTTCAAAATATAATCTCTCATCAAATTTGTGCCAATAAGCTCTCATGGATCTCATGATGAAAGGGAATTAGTATTTGGGCTCTCATGGATCTCATCATTCCATCCCATCTCATCTCCTCCTCCTGTCATCATCAGGTCATCCCCACTATTAGGGGGATGTGATCTCCAAAACCTCCAATCTCAGACCTTGTTGACCTTGTTGACCTTCTAGGGGGGGGGGGGCCGTTGATTAATCCGACGTTGACATTATCTTGAATTACTGTAGTTTCCTCAGACATTGAGCGGCGCACATTGAATTCCGGTGTTGGGCGGCTGCGGATTCAGATCGGGAGGCCAAAGCGGCCAATGGTGGCATGTCACCGAAGGAAGAGGCGCCAAAGGATGTGTGAAAAAGTACCTGTCATACTGTCCGTTCAAGAAATCTGGATAGAAAGTCTGGAAACCCATCAACTCAAATCAGGAAGTCTCACCAGAGATTGGCAGTTTTCTTTTCTTAGGGTTTATCATGCACTTCACCTTTTGCAATTAACTTACTACATGAAAAAACATGTTCTTTCGGTGGCCTTGGGTAGCCCAGCCTTGCGCGTTCGCTCATAGTACTATTGTATATCTCATTCCTCCCATTTGGAGGTGTTTCCTTTGTTCAACCCTTGGATAGGAGTGCCCGCGTTCATGGGGTGTTTATGTTGCGACGAACCATCAGTCCAAGAAGAGGGAGGGGAACATGAAGGACTCTACAACATATTGTCACACTGAAGCAAACAGAATGGACGGCATAGACATGGCCAACAAGGTTTCCCTGCAATGTGGGTGTGACATGGAGGTTCCAGGTTTCAGAAAGTGTGGGTTCTTGCACCCAACGACGAGCTGCTCAAGTCTAGACCCTTCAATCTCCATGCAAAGGCTTTCGAACTAATGATCTCCATTGAGATTCGAGTCTCACTTTGGGACACAGGAGCCGAAGGATGAGCCAAAGGAGGAAACCAAGTTAGAGGAACCCAAGGAAGAGCTGAAGGATGAACTGAAGGCAGAGCCAAAGGCAGAGCCCAAGGAAGAGCCGAAGGTGGAACCACAGGAGGCCCGAGCAGTTCCTGTGTGCTTGGAGTTCCGGACATCAGCGATGTGAGGTTTCAAAAGCTCAAAGACACAAGCCTAAAGAATCCGCAGAACTGACGAATGTGGATGTGTCCGAACTGACGAATGCGTCTAGGGGTGTTTGGATGGGTGACTGCATAAGCCAAAAAGCTTGCGCATGAGAACCCCAAAAGAATCGAAGGCTGGGGGAAGAGTCAGTTGTCCCTACATTGTGATACTGTAGTTTGTTTGTTTGTGGTTGCGCTTTGTTCTAACATTCTAACAACCATGGGCGTGGCGGTGGAAGCAGTTGAAGACAGTTTGAAGCCAATTATTTGCCGCCAATCGATTTGTATGTAGAGGGAGGCACGACAAAGCAGAAACAAGCACCCATTGAGACAATCCCCCCTACGCAACAACGCGGGTTTCATTGCAAGCTTTCCACTAGAAGGGTGTAGTGCAGCATTTGTGTGCAGGTGTAGCTTGCTTGGGGCTTTCACACCCAATTCCATGCGCCTTTGTTTTCGTTGATTCAGACAAGGTCGACACGGCCTGCTGTGACCAAAACCCCTCCGTCTGATCGACGTGAACCGTCCCTCGACTCGGTCAGGAGAAGCTCTCCAGTCAGGCCGCGGGACCGGAGTGGAACGTACGTGGCCTGGATGTCATGCCCTGGACCTAGCTACTAGTAGCGTCCTCTAGCTACTAGTAGTAATGCCAGGAGCTACGTTCTTTTGCGTTCCTTGCTCCGTTCGTAGCGATGCCCATTGCTAGAAGCTTCTTGTTCCTTTGCTCAACTTTTGCCTAAGAAGCTTTTCTGGTGGTATCGTTCCAATTGTTAGTAGCTTGTTGCTGGTTTGTACCAAGTGACTTGGAGCCATATTGTATGATGTGTTTGACTGAGTGTACTGGCGGTGTGAAATGGAAGTTTCTGGCACGTCATGAAGTTTCTACCACATTCTACCATTGCTGCCTTGGACATGCTCAAAGGCTGAAAGTGCTGAGGATGGCGAGTCGCTTGTATGCAGTCAACGGACGAGCGAGATGTGATGTCGGCTCCCATTTGGATCCCTCGGACTTTTGGGTTGCTGAACATTACTCGACTCTACCACACTCTACCTCTACACATTGAACATATAATACGGTAAAAACCGATGATTATGTTTGGTTAGTTCAATGAGTTAATTACTTTCCATTACCAATATGTTATATTCTAGTCTATACTCTATAGGTTATTTATTCACATTCAAATCCTAATTTAATGTGATGTGCTCTACTTTGTTGAATTGGCATGTAAAGAACACCATTGCGTTTCAGAGCCAACAAAAGGGGGAGGGGTTACCCAGCTGTGTACAAGTACAGCGAGCTCGCAGTCAGAAACTGGCTGACAAGTCGCCCCCAACTTTATGTATGTTTTCTGCCTCGTTGCCGAGTGTCCGTCGCAGTGCAGGATGTGGATGGCGGCCTCTTCAGAGGTGCCTTGGCAAGTCGCATGAGTAGCTCATGGGTCCAAAAGGCTCCGACAAACAGCAGCCGAGTCACATTGACTTTAATCTATGCGCTGAACATGCCGCACTGGCGTGGGGGCACCACCATGCGACCTGTCACGTCAGTGGAGCGATAGACGATGGTTATTAAAGGTGTAATTGGGTACATCAACATATTTGCCAAGGAAAGCTATTGCAGATAACGCATCACAGTGTTTTTGTTGGCATCACACGGACTCTTGATGGTGTTGTTGTGACTCACAAGTCTTGTGAAGTACGGGTTCTGACTTCACCGGTAAGCCTTCGCCACCGAACTGATCATCGTTTTTTGCGTTCGGTTTCTGCCCAGTGGCCAAGCAGTTATTGGAACAAACCTGCATTAACCGCGGCAGCGAAGCAAATCCGTTAGCGAGTTCACAGGTTCCAACTTTTAAAGCGCACAGACCAAACGGGAGCCACCCGGGGTTGTTAGCCGCAGCAGTGAATGCCATTTAGTAAATTCAATCAGAGAGAGATGAGAGAGAGAGAGAAGAAGTATCAAGGGTTGTTTTTTCTTGGCCATTTCTACCCACTATATCCCACAGACTATCGCCTTTATAGCCACGGTGTCATTTTGGAGCTTTTGCTTCGAGGAAGTTGCCCATGGGTCATGCGCAGTTGGAGATGATGTTCTTCAGCACACTGGGGGTTTGGGGGGGATAGGGGGGGTTGAGCAACGTTCCACCGAAAAACGCCCCGGCCCCGGAGTGCGCGGAGCCGTGTGCGGATCCTTTTCGGCACCTTCGGTGCGAGTCGACTCGAGTCGACTGACCTCGAGGCCGAAAAGAAGTCGCGGCGTTTGGACAAGAACCACAAGGATTCAGCAGGGCACTCAGCATTCATCAGAGCGTCAGCATCGATGCAGAATTCAAGGCACCTGGCTGGTCTTTTGAATGCACATCGATCATGGTCAGTCAGCAGTTTGCCCAATGGTTCAACCAATTCGGCGTGCCCACTGTCGATAGAAGATGAGAAGATTATAGAAGGACGTCACTATGTCCATTGTGATGTTTTGGAAAAGAGATTCCAACGCGTTTTTACAAATCTGGAAATGGAACAGGTTTCTTGATGTTTCTCGAACAGATCTATATAAGCCATTATAAGCCCCTATAGGAGCCTTTAAGCCTTGAAAGTGTCGGGTGCATCCCTTCGGTTGGTTGCAATGTGTTTCGAGGGAGGCCGCTACTGTTACTGTTATACTGTATTATATTCATCACCCGGTGAGGCCAAGGGCGAAAAAGAGAAAGGGCATGCCCAAGATCCAAAGGACGCTGAGAAGAAGAAGGATGAGAAAGGTAGCAAAAAGGACTCCACCGGTTGAATGGTTCTCGAAAGTTGATACCGACTCTGCAATGGGCACGCCATGGGAATGTTGGGCGTGTGGAATGGGCACACCCCATGGCTGCCAACTGCTGTAGGAGGAAAAGGAACCAGAATGACACCAAAGGGCCAAAAAGTTTTCAATTTGAGATCCAAGCCCTTTTCGCCTTTTGACCCACCCCGGTGACACCCAGTGGCTTCGCCAGACGTGGCCAGACGGCCTTTCCGTACGTGGCGGACGGAATCCTCGCGAGGAGTCGCGGACGTCCAAAGAAACGCCGAAGGATTCCTCCCCTGAGCGAGGCAAAGAGACTTCGGTGGCTTGGCGAAGAGACGGACTTCGGCTTCGGCTTTGAACAGACGGAACCGACCGTTGGGCTTCGGGAGCGGAAAGAACTTGGAGTGCCCCCGTCTTTGGGGACCCAGCAGTTGTGTCCGGCTGCTTGGCTGCTTTGCTTCAAGATTTGGTCATCACACGTTCAAATCATTTCAAATCAGAAAAGGAAGAAGGGGTTTAATCACCCCAAGGCTCAAATTACATGCTGAGAAGGTGTTTGGGGGTGGGTATGAGGGGCCAAGCACATCTTTTATGAGGATGTCGCTGCATCCTTAATATGATCCAATAGCCATGCCCAAACGGTTGAAGGATGTGTTGTTGGGTGCATCCTGTGGAAGCAAGAGATCAGATGATGTAGCACCTGGAATCCCAGATCTTAAACGACAAACCATGTATGATACTGCCTTGCCACACCATGATATGTATCATACTGCTCATTTCGGATGCTTACTCCAAGCCAAGAAATATACAGAAATCATCAACATGCCAAGATGATGTAAGATCAGGACGTCCTTTTCCACACTGTGACGTTCCGTGACGCTCGGTGTTTCTGTCGCATTCACTCCAACGACATCGAATGATGAGATCTCACTGGTGGCACGCTGCCAGGGTCGTCATCGCCGAGATCGAGGTCCAAACCCACCCGAGAGAGATGAGAATCTGGTCCCGTTGGCTTCGTCAGATCGATGTGAAGTTTTAGCATATTATGGCAAATATAGACTCCTCATATTGGGGCTTGCTATTTTCTAGTGGCCTTCAGTCAAGACGAACATCTTGTTTTGGAGTAGAAGTAAGTAGACTACTTCTGGCGCAACTTCAGGTTTCCGCTATATTCCGTGCTGGGTGAGAACCATTGTGGCGCAATCGGACATTTGACATCGCACGTCAGCCGCACCAGGACAGCGATCTCCCCGAAATCGACGGCGGCACGGAGAGGAGCGGCACGGGAGCATCGGAACAGCCTGGTGGGTACCAGTTACCAGTTCCATGACCCCACATCAGTAATTGTGAGAATTACGTGAGCATATTACTGGGCAGATTATATCTACCGATATTGTTGCTGCAAGGGTGCACATGTTGGATAAACATTAGTACTGAACTCTGGAAACCATATTAGGCCCGTCCTTCTTGTGCCGTCCCGACAGGACACCGAGCGGCGCGTGCGGCGACGGCGCGACAGCCGCTCCGCCGGGCGGCGCTCGACCGGCCGAGGACGGGCGGACTCGAAAGGGAACACAGGCACCGGATCCGGTGTGGATCCACAGCTTCTCAAAACGAAGATAGGGACCACTGGTGACCTGGCACTGGTCATGGGACCTGAAATGTGACCAGTCAGACCACTGGAGATGTAGATCGCTTTATTGGGCCAGGGAATGGTTTGGAAGGGTAGCACAGGCCTAGTCAGTATTCCTTGTCCATGTACGTATTATTGTACAATCCATAATATGTTTCAGTAGCCACCCTTAAACACTTATTAACACAGCAGACGTGCTGGCTGCTGGCATGCACAGGGGTTCTCTTTCTTTGTGACCGGTCCTTAGTTCAGAACTGCCAAGGTCCAAGGTTCTAATCCTCATAGATTCACACACCCATGCCACTCATGCTTACCTGGGGCGTAAATATCGTTTGCTCAGTAGTTTGCTCATGTTTGCTAATATGGTTGCTCTTGGTATATTATATGTGATTCTAGAATGTGCTAGACATGTGTGACATGTATCGTGTTGTGCGTGTGTTCTCCTTGCGAAATCTCATGGTTCCAACCAGGACAGTTTCCATAGGTCGAATCTTGGTCACAGGACACCGGCGACGCCGTGACAGCAGAGATGAAGCTGACCAGGAGCCACTCCGTGCGGGCGGGCTGACACTCCGTGATCCAGAGTGCCAGGAATGCGGAGTGACTTCTGATCATAGTGGATTGAGAGTAGATGGCACAAGTTACCCCAAGTTGGGCGATTTATATGGACCCCCATCCAAAAGGCATCTTGGGGTTTGTGCCATCCATATAATAATTACTGTACTCTGAAACCATTGTACCGAGAGTATCATCAATTGAGCCTGTTTAGTCATAGGTTGCGCACGTGAAGTTCTTGCTCTTTGCAGTCTCACTAGCAGCAGCAATGCCTTTCGTTGAATCTGAAAGGAAGAGAAAAGGGGTCTCACACCATGATGTGTCATGGCTTGACCCACGGAAGTTGTGTCCAAACAGTATCTTCAATGAACATGTCCTCACCCGGACTGGGGGATGCCCCTTCCAAGGGTGAGGCCGGGCCATCCAACGGGCCCCAGTCGTTCTGGCCCGCTCCAGGCCCGACCGAAGGTCGCCAGGCGCGGTCACCGCGACCGGTCGCGGCGCCACGTTGGGTCGGTGTCGCTGGCGGATGGGCATCGCTACGACGAACGGAGCGAACGGAGCAAAGGGCATTTCTACGAACGGAACAAGAACCCTAAGAGTGGATAGGCTTGTTTTTTCTGTGGAGCTTTGGACGTCGGAGACGGCAAGCGGGCTATCTTTCCGCGCCACCCTTCCTGGTCGTGCAAAAAACGCGTCACGGGAGTTTGCCGGATTCCTTGACGGTGGGTAAACGATTGACAGTTGTACTTGTATATAGTGGTATTCTTGGGGGAGGGAGTGTAGTCACTGCAACTGTTAGCGGTTAACAGCTGTTGTTGAGTCATATTGCGACAACCCCAAGAGGCAAATTTGTTCAGTTTCCTGTTGCTTTAAGGTGACGGTGAGTATGCCGACTTAGAACGAAAAGGACAAAGAGAGAAGAACCAAACAAAGTTTATAGTTTTGGGATGCTTTGATGTTTTGGGTGCTGTTTTGTTAATTTGATTGAGGCTGGGCTTTGCTGTATAATCTTGCGGGCAACAATTTTCCGCGACTTTGAAACTTTGACATATATAGATCAAGCATGCAGCATGATCAAGCAGAGCTGGAAACGGCGCATCCTCGCCAGACCTGCCAAAGCCCGATCCCAACAGTTTAAACTATGTACTTCACAACATTACTGTAATTAGGGCATCCACAAGAATAACTTTTCACTCCAATTCACGCGGCAGTTGGTTCCAAGTTCTAAGTCGAGTTCCAGTTGGAGATGCTCCTGACTCCTGATGAAGATGTTGTGTTGCTTGAATAGATTCCTTAAGCATCGAAGCGCAGCATACCTTAAGCATCGAAGCGCAGCATATCGAAACAAGTACGATGCAGAACTGCTGGTAACTGCTGTGGAGAGACAGAGAGAGAGAGAGAGAGAACAACGATGACGTGGAGAATCGATGGTCCTGTTTTTTGTTCTGGTCTTGGAGAGGAGGAAAGGAATCACTTTTTGTCCATCTGCGGAATGTCGTGTGTGTCATGTATGATGCCGAACATGATCACCACTGATCACCACGCGATGCTGATTTCATGTCCAGACACGCCTGCTGATTGGCAATCCAGTTTGGATTGGATCTTCGGTTGGTTGATTGATCCAAGATCCAAGAATGAAAGACACAGAGTATCCACTTGAGTTTTAAAGGCAATACATGTCAAGCCATGTTTTGGAGATGAAAGGCTGGCTTCCAGAGACCTTTGCATCAACCTAAACCAGACCGCGCCGGACACGGCTCGGGTCGAAAAGACGGACCTCGCATCAGGTTGAGCTCGCCCCAGCGAAGCAGACGTACCAATGCCCGGTGCCATGTTGACATGGCCTGATGTGCATCCATCGAATCATGAAGTGACCATGATAAAGCCATCCAAATTTTATATGTATATATAATATAATGTTCTCAAAGAACTATTTTGCAAGCACATTGTTTGAGTCGGATGGGAGAAGGGAGCGTCTTTTTCCTCGAATCTGACATATATAGTGTTTGGAACGAACCAATGGGTCCTCGAAGCCTCTAGGTGATTCAGCATCAACAAAAACACCTTCAGAGGGTCAATAGCATCCCCAAAGCATCCATGGAAGCCTCTATTTCTCCATTGTCAGTGCTTTTTAGGATCAATCGGCTTGGTCTTTACTGACTCAGGCCAATGCCATTTCGCCCGAGAAGAAGCCTCCCGAGCGCCTTGTTGTGGGAAAGCGAGTGCGAGTGATCGTGGAGAACGAGGACAAGGACGCAGCATGGGTGACTCGTCACGGGCAATCCATGAGGTCGTCGACTTTGAGTGGTCAAGGATGATGGGCAAGCCCTTCTTTGATGTTGGTGAACATTAATTCGAGGATCATGTTCAAGCTCCCGATTTCCACAATATTTGCAGCACCTCTTGCCGGCAGCTAATCGTTTTTCTTTTGTCTCCAGACTTGGACTTTGCGGAGAAACCCAGTGAGATCCTCGAACTGGTTGGGAACTGATTGGGATTCTTGACAAAGTCCCAGTTTTTTCTCGGAAGCATCCTCCAGTTGCACACATCCCGCTTGAAACAGTTGACTTCAAGCTGCACTCCAAAGCTCAATGTTGTCCCCCAAAAAGAGTTCTGTTGATTCATTGAAGAACCACTCGACCTCCGCATTTTGGCCATCCAGGAGGGCCTCTACTTCGACGATGATCGGGCCAACGTCTCAACCGTCCTGCGGATGCGTCCAACGGGTGAAGTCGTCCCGGACATCGCGGTTTCGGGGCGAGAGGGAATGGAGTTGTTCGATGTCTAAACCTGTCTAAACAGGCAATTGAACCCACTCGCATAGCTCGACACTGCGAAATGCAAATTTTGACCAAGGGAGAGACGAGATCCAGCACAGCTCTTTGGAAACCACATGCTCCAAAACGCAGGTTTTGTGCACATTGTTTTGTGCCTGTAATTAACAGTCGGTAGACAACAACAACAACAACAACAACAACAACTACTACTACTACTACTACTACTACTACTACTACTGATCACGAGTTTAAGGAGAAAGGCCTTCATCATCCACTGTTACTGGTAATGGGATAGACCCAACACATTGTGCTTGTTTTACAATGTTTTATACATGTTCATACTACTATTGTTGTTATTTGTTGTTTTCCTTTTTTAAGTAGATGATAAAGTAACTGTTCACTGTAAACAAAAAAGAACGCAAAAACACCAGCGCGCTTGCATTTGACAGGAAATTTTTGTGAAATTGCTCAAAGAAATAGCATATGATTCGTAACAGTGCATAACTTGAAACAAAATACAGGTTGACAAAAAGGGTTTTGGAATTGGGGTTTCGGCGTGCATTTGATGACCTGAGAGCAGAAAGTGGAACAGCTAAATTTCACTGAAGCCAATTCGTTGGCCAACAGAACTTTGATGCTTGACCTCGTTGGCCTTTCGTTTCTGAACAATTGGGCTGACACCAGGTCTTTGTAGGGCGTTTGGGCGCTCCGCGCTCTAAAACCCTTTGGCGTAAAAATCTCAGAAGGCGAGCGAAAGCGCCGCTCAGGTTGGGAGCAAAGGTACGACCGGTCAGATCATGGAGGATGATGGTTCGGAGCAGCCCTTCCGAGTCTCTTGGTCAGAAATAGAACAGGATGCGAGTGGGGCCGGGCCTCGCACAAAAACACTGCTTTGGATTTACTTCAAAGACACGCGGCACAGGTGACATTTCCAGAAGATTATGATTCTTCTATGATGGTGATGGCTATATACTTTGTAGTTATAACTACAACAATGTGTGTATAATTATGAATATGTTTGGTATCTAATTAAACCTGAAGAGCTTCCTCTAACAATATTGTGGAACACCCGATCCTCCACTCCACTCCCTCGGCCTGGAGGGACGGAGTAGTTCCGGAGTTCCTTCCAGATTCCCAGGTGAAGCTGAAGAATGGGAAGCTCTCCTGGTTCAAAGAAGCCTGGCTGGAGGACAGGGTCTCACCCTGCCGTCGTTCCAAAGACCTCCAAACAAAGCGACGATCTTCGGTCTGACGTTCCACCCTTCACCAGGACCACCGTTATATGTAGTGTTCCAATTATGTTCAAAGAGTATCTAACGAGTAAAGCATAGTCCAATCAAGTCCAAAGCCACGTTTGTTGGTGTGCGTGATTCTTTTTTAATACCACGCGTGTTTTCTTGTTACCACATCTCAGGTTCAGAAGTTCTTCCTCCAATAGTGGGATTCGCACTGGTTTTGGGTCGAAGAGGTACGTATTATTTGTTTTTGTAAATGTGTCCTTATTGAATAACGACCAGCTTGAGAAGAAACTCCCAGGCATGAATGTTGCTGGCCTCTTGGTTTCTTAAGCTTGCGGAGCATTCTTGCTTCAATGCAACCTTATATAAATGTGTTTAGTGGTTTTGTGGTTGAGTTCCCTTGTGTGGCCCTCTATACTATACATCCCGACATCCCTCTACCTTTTTTGTGGTGCACGCTGCAGGCTCCTTATGCGTGGACCGTTGCCCTTTTGCTTTGGTGGTAATATGCTTGTCACTACCTTCACCATTGTGGTCATTGGCGTGTTACACACTGCTGTGGTGATTCTTGCATTCATTCCTTGATCCTGGTGCTCTATAGCTAGTGCCACTCCTATTGTCCGATCCTCCCACCCTTCACAGCCACCTGCTGGAAAAAGAGGAGCATCAGTGGGATGGCGCTTCGAACTGGTCTGAGGTTCTTTTTGAATGCGCTGCGGCGCCACGTTCTGGGGTGAGTTTTGAGGTCACTCACCATGCGTCCTGTTTAATAAAATCCTCTGATGATGTATGATGCAATCACAGGCTTTTAGCTACCAGCTACCTGTTTCCATGCAAGCTATGAACATAAAACAATATATGTCACGTACGATTACATACAGTTACTTTTATACAAAGACACATTTCCATTCAGCATGCTACACGTCCTGCTAGAGTTTAGAATACAGACCGATCACTATCTGCAGACCCTGCCAGCCATGTTCCATTTGTCCAGGAGTGCGAGCCGGCAACTCAGTGGGAAAAAACCTATGTCCCGGCTCCAACCCATTTCGTGGGTTGGCCCGTGGAGCACGAAACCTCAGGGCAACCGTAGTTGGTTGGACAAGTAATTATCTAGACCTCATTTGTAGAATGAAGTTGCAGTCGGCTGTATATATTGGATCAATTCCCGAATATATTTGTATCATTGCCGGCCATGGCGGTAAAACAGTACAGTTGGACACTGCAAACTAAAAGTATACCTTAGATCGTCAAGTGGATGTCGCGTATGCAGCTGGGATCAAAGGGCACCTCTTTATATCGGATGCTGATGAATGTTTGTTGCAATCACGTGAAGGCGACGGTCAAAGGTTTGAGCTTTTTTCCGGCTTGGTATGACCATGAAAACACCGCATCGGACAGCAGACAAATTTTAGAATGTCCCCCGCAACAGTACCCCTGACACTGAGGTGGCCCTAATTATACAAGGGTCCCAATACAAGGCCTGGTGGCGGTATACTGGCATGATTTTGCGATGTCTTGCGGGGGGTCTTGACACAAGCATTGCAAACTTTTTTCAAGAACCTTTCCAGATCCCAGGATCCACTCCGATCCCTGCGTTGTGGGGTTCCGGGGATCTGAATCGGTCCCTACCTTTGGAATGAATTGATAGAGAGTCAACATTGATTCCACCGGATAGCTCATGTGTGGAAGGGCTGTTCCAGGGTCAAGGTTTGAGGGGCTGGATGTTTATTCAACCCTCCAACATTTTTTTTCAACCCTAACCTTTTTTTTCAACCCTCCAAGACGCTTTTTCAACCCTGGGTTGGAAAAAAATGTAACCCCTACTAAATCAACCCATGGTCCGTATATTCCAACCTTTTTTTTTTCACCCTGGAAACATGCCTTTTTCACCCTGGAAACATGTTTTTTCCACCCTTGAACCTTTTTTTCCAACCCATAAACATGCTATTTCAACCCTATGACACGCTATTCTAACCCTGGGTCGCACCGTGGGGGGCTGGCCTTTCAGTCCTAGGATGTAGCCGCCTTCGTCGGAAGCTCGAACGATTCGGCCGCCCTATTCTGCTATCGCTGCTGGTCCTTCTCCACCGTCTTCCTTTTGCTTTGGCCTTGCTGGCTGGCTGCTGCCAACCTCCACCTGCAGCTTCCGCTGCTGCCGCTGGTGCTGCTGCTTACTGCTTTGCTGTGCTGCAGCCACTGCTGCTACCGCTGCTGCCGCCGCCGCTGTTGCCGCTGTTTGTGCCGGCGCTTCCTTTTTGCTTAGCTGTTGCTGCTCTGCTGGCTTGGATGCATGCTCGTGCTCAGAAAGAGTCGGCAGCGCACGCAACATCGCCGCTCCGGGCGACATGTTCCCAGAACAAATATGCTTGGTGCACTTTTTAAAGATTGTCAAATGGTCACAACAGACCGAGCCCTCTGAAATCCCGAATATCATGGCTACTATGCACGCCCTCCTACACCCAGGCCCCCCCTGTTGAAACCTATGTTCAGACATTAGTAAGGCCTAAGCAGGCTTCAAACCTCAGTTTCTACTCGGTAGGCGCTCAACACAGCATGGAACTCTTACTGGGATGTTGTTTTCGGGCTGGGTGTTTTTTTATGCTAATGGTTTTTTTCTTATGCTCATAGCGGGGTTGGTGTGCTTTTGGGGTATGGGTTTCTTTTTTTTATGCTTATAGTGCTTTTTTATGCTAATGGTTTTTTTCTGTTGTGCTTGCAGTTCTTTCTTTTTTGCTCCTGGTTTCTTTTTTTATGCTAATGGTTTCTTTTTTATGCTAAGGGTTCTTTTTTTTATGCGGCACTGTGGGAAGAGGTCACGTTGGGGGGTCCTAGTGCAGAATGTAATTGTCAGGAGGGTTTAGTGCAGAATGTAATTGTCGGGAGGCTTTAGTACAGAATGTAATTGTCGGGAGGTTTTAGTACAGAAAGTAATTTTCGAGAGGTTTTAGTACAGCAAGTAATTGTCGGGAGGTTTGAGTACAGAAAGTAATTGTCGGGAGGTTTTAGTACAGAAAGTAATTGTCGGGAGGTTTTAGTACAAAACGTAATTGTCGGGGGGGCTTTAGTACTGAATGTAATCGTCGGGGAGTTTTAGTACAGAATTAAATGTCGGGGGCCTTTAGTATCGAATGTAAGCGTCGGGGTGTTATCGAATGGACAATTATTCATGAACGAACCGTTCAGTGAAAGGTGATGCATCCGTCAGCAGAAACCGAAAAGTGATGAGTTCCAGTATCAACTGATATCAGAACGGTAGAAATGTGGCCAAATGGGCTCCAGTCAGAAATCAGGGTCGCTTCGTGCGGTGTCTGTGTGGGTCCGTCCGGCATGGGTGGGCAGTGATCAAGCTCCTCTCTCGTTGGATCTCCTCGCTGGAGTTTTTTGGTTTCCGCCAGCAAAGAAGTTTTCATCGGGGAAGAGTTTGCATGTCACCATCCAAGAAAAGACGCGACTTCCACAGAGCCTCTGCTCATGCCACGCGTCAGAATGCTTCCGATCGAAAACAGGGCCGTTCTTCTGCCAGCCGTTGTTCTTCCCGACGCAGAAGGGCTTTGTGGCTGGCATGGAGGGCAGATGGCCATTCCACCATTCCAGCAGACAAGGTTTGGTTGTTCTACCGTCTCGCCCTTGCCGCCAAAACTGGAACTGGAGTGTTGGGTGAATTTCTTTGCAATTCCTTGCCTGTGCAGCCGCCGGTCAGAACTCGGCAACGAGATGTTTTTCCCTTGGCCCCGCTTGCGATGATTGTTTGCGTGTTTTTGAATCTTTCTCCAAGGGCCCGAAAGACGAATATGCAAAATTGGTTGTCAAGCAGCTGCGGTGTGGTAAGTTGAGTTTAGCAACTTTTTGCAAGGGTGGTGGTACCACTTTCGCTGTTGGGAAGCCTGGGGGTGAACGCCTGAGGGAGGTATGGCACGGCCGACGTGTTTCAGAATCAGCTTCTGCACCTCCAAAGCCGAGACACTTGGCTTCCCCAACTGCGTTGACCTTTCTGGAGTGCAGCGATGGAAGACCACTACGCCTTAGCAAGCGCGATGCTACGTGTTGGTTTGACCAGTTGAAGCTTCCCAGCTCTCTTCGTCAATACATGGCCAAACCGCCCATCTCCACAGTGGAACTTGTCAATGCTGGAATGTCAGTGGCGGATCAGCGGCAGCACATGGAAGATGGACATGCTTGGCGCGAAGGTTTGCTATATCCTTTGCACTGCGTCTGGCCTATGGGATTTTCTTGGTCTTCTTACATAGCCCAAGAAGAGATGTGAGCGTTTGTCAAGATGCTGGCATACTAACTTCATCTCTCTTGGCTTGTGATTGCGTGACACCTACATCGTTTGAGCTTGTTGCTGCGGTGGCCACCGATGATGTCATGATTTTCAGCGACGCTGGCCCTGGTACCACCTGTGAAGCAGCAAGAGCTTTCGATGGCAGCGATGGATGCACGATGCGCAGTCCGAAATCTTAAGAAGGACGTTGACGACGCGCTCTGTGGTACCTGTGTTGGGGTTGACTTAGTAGACGGATACTTTCTGGATGCGCCGGGGGGACGCTACTTGGCCATGATTCTGACATTTCTGCACCTGCACAGATGCAGGGTGGGCACGCCGCGGCAGGTCCACCAGCTCTTTGGGGTGCTGCAATGGTTTGACCTTTTGATGAGGCGAAAGCTATCCGTTTACAGTGCCATCTATGATTTCACGATCAGTGACAGTCCTGATGCTGTACCGCTGCCTGAGCGGGTGTTGGCGGAGCTGGCGTGCAGCCTCTGTCTGGGCATGTTTTGGCGCTGCGACTTGAGAAGGCGTTTTTTGCCGATGCTTGGTGCAACAGATGCCAGCTTATCCTACGGTTTGGGGGCAAGCATTGTGCGTGCCTCGGAAGAAATGGTCCGAACGGTTGCTCGCTGGGCTGAAAAGCAAGGGGCTTTTGTAGTTATGGACGGTGATGCTGCGAAAAGTTTGAGCGCTGAGCGGATGCTGGAGGCACGGTACCTCAATTTGAAGCTTGAGCACTTTTCCGACATCTTCAGTGTTCGCTCCAAATTTCCTGCACACATCAACGTCCTGGAAGGTGAGGCATTCGTGCTTTTCTTGAAGTGGCTTCTGCGGTCCACCAAGCACCACTCGACAAGAGTTGTTGTTCTGCTTGACTCTGCAGTTTTTCTGGGCGCGGCCGCGAAAGGGAGGTCATCTTCACAGTTGAACAGGCTGTTGCGGAAGGTCGCTTCTCTGGCGATGGCTGGAAATCTTCAGCTGCATTTTATCTTTGTCCCCTGCAGCGAAAATCCAGCGGATTTCCCCTCGCGTGGCAAGAAGAGGCGAGCACGAAAGTGAAGCAGCTCTAGGCTGCACGGAGTTTTTCGGAAGCCCTGCCTTTCTGGCATGATGTGCAAACTTCCGAACTTGCACCCTAGAATTCAATTTTGTCAATTTTGATGGGTGTTCGTGTTGCTGGCGCTCGGCGTCCTACATCCGGGCACGCTGCGGTAGATTCTGCGCGTTCTGGCGCAGAACTGGCTCCGACGGGCAGCTGGAAGATGCTTGGTGCTGATGTTGGGCGCTCGGGCTACTGTGAGTTTGCTCCGCTCACAAAGGCCTCAACGGCGCACTGGTTGATGTGATAATCTGCTCTCTGAGACCCACACACACACAACTGGTGGAATTCTTTTTGGTTTTGTCGGCAGTGATTTTCTCTCACAGCCAGTGCCGGTGGTCGGGATTGATGATCATTAATGCTGGACCTGAACAAAGCTGGCAAAGTCAGCTGTGGACAGTGGTTGTAGCATGATCAAGTTCTAACCTCTCGGCAATCGCACCCGGTTCACAAAAGATTCGCATCCTGTCCTTGCTGTACGGTGCTGCTTGGC